TAGTCCTCAAAAAGGAACTTTTTGATTATCCCTTACAATTAATAACATAGCAAAATTATTTAACTGCACAACACACCAGGATGAACATAAACAGTGCAACTCACATTAACCAGTTGACTGATGTGCATATGATTAAAACTTGCAAATGTTTTCATAGCCACTTCTGAGCTCTTCTTCAAGGTTCTTCAGGCAGGATATTCAATTTATTTTCAAATGTTAACTGCCAGCTTGTTTGAATAAAAAAGAAGCCTGAAGAAGAGTCCAGAAGGGGCTACGAAAACATTTACAAGTTTTAATCATATGCACACTGGTCAACTGGTTAATGTGAGTCGCACTGTTTATACAAAACTATTATTGCCAAACTTAACGTGTCATCTTTTATTGAGTATAAGCTATCTTAGCAACATATGGAAGAAAACCTTAATAATAAATCAACTATTTTAACCTTTTAAAAAAATTCATACAAAATGAATTTTAAATATTTGGCTATAAATTGGAAACTGCACCAAAAGTAAAAATATTAGCTTGACTACTGTTGTATATCATGTTGAATCTTACATCATGTGCCAATATATGTTTGGATACAGTGCTTCATGTCTTTGATAGTATATTTTAACATTATGCTGTTAATGTGTCTGATTTCATTTATGATATTTACGGGAAAGGTTTGATACAATATATTCATTCCTCAAGAAAATTTCACAAAAAATTTAGAGGTTGTTAATTCAGGTAACTGATGGCACAAACTTTTCAAAATTATCTAATCAACAAAGAATTTCTGGATTGTTGTCATGAATTCTATGGTTGTATGGCATGTTACATCCTGTTATTGGTATAATTTCTAATCATTTTGATAGTGTTTAATAGTTCCACAAACTGCAAAAAATGCTATGGAATTCAGTTTTTTCAAGAAAAATATGACTAATAATTGATTGAACAGATATGGTGCAACCAAACTATCAAATTTCTGTCTTTTCTACATCCAATGGTTCATAAACACATTCATAACTCTACGTACCTACCACACATGGTGCATTTTTGTCTTTTTCGTATTGGCTACTGTACTCTGCTAGTGACTCAACACCAAAGTAAAGTTCAAGCTACTATAAGACAAATAAGACATTTTACCATTGTGTACCAGTGTTTCTCAAAGTTTTTGGTCCATGACCTCCCTTTTGCACTTAAAAATTTCAAAGAATCCCCTGAAGAATGGGTTTGTGTAGAAACACATCCTGAAGGGGGAAATTAATTTAAATTCAGAAGGAGTTAATTTCTTTTGTTTAATTGCATTGAAACACTCATAATTTTAATAGCAGATTTATTTTTAGTTTCATTAAAAATTAATAACTTATCTTTGAACAAAATATTCTATGTATATGTTTCGACATTAGTAAACTCAATTAGTTAAGTTAAATATATTTTATATTAAATTTAATGTGATGGATGAGTCTGCTTATTTTGGCACAATAAATTAAACATGGGTTTAATATCAGTCAGTGCATGTCTCATAGTGATTTCTATGTTGCAAAGATGAGAGCGCTGCTTTGTTTTGTTGTTGGCCATTACTGAAAATGCCATTTTGCATAAATAAGTGGTTGCAAATGGTAAGAGAACTGCCATTGCTAATTCAGAGAGTAGTAGATACTCTGCTTTCTTACTAAGCCAAAAAGAATCTATTTCTAAACACGAATCCATAGTAAATTTATAAAATATTTGAAAAAATTGATCTGTCATCAATTTTTCTGAGACCTCCCCAAATATTTTTCACGACCCCCACTTTGAGAATCACTGGTGCACCATATTTGGAGCAGCCAAAAAAATCCAGCATATAAATATGCTTTTAAATTTCTCAGGCTATATTTAAGTTGAAAAATTTAAAAGAATCTTTTGAGCAAGTTTTATAAAACAATAAAATACATCTATTTTTAGTGTGAGCCATGGATGACGATCAGTGAGATTTAAAGATTAAGTTATAATAATAAGCCATCATGTACTACATACGAACATGGAGAAAAAAAAAGGATTTATCATAAATATCATCTCTGTGCTCTAAAACCAATTTTAATTCTTTACGCACAAAATCAGCCAAAGGGAAAATTGACTAATTTTTCTATATAAATTCCCCTTGTAGCCTGAAGAGTATAAACAATTTCATTTCCAGGCATAGAAAAAGAACTCTTCAGTGCTTAAATAGTTACATGCAACATCTGACGAGGAGTATATACGCTTCAGGAAAAAACTATGTAGCAAACATAACCTTCAATATTTATATTTCTTTATAGGCATAAAGCTATTTGTTTATGATGCAATTTCAATTGTATCAGCAGCCAACAAAAGTGTTTTAAATTTAATTACTAGCAAATATATAACTGAACAAGTTTTAGTTACAAGTTATTTGTATCAGTCAATGAAAAGAATTAATACAGCATTAATCATCTTACTGGTAGTAATCTTTGTATCAATTTTTTTAATGATATTGCCAATATTTTCTTAAAGAGGATAATTTTTTTATCATTATTTTTTTTTGTAATCAACACATAATAAATGGTAATCAAGCTGATTGCAGTTACTACACTATTTTAAATTTACTGTCATGGAGAAAAATTCTAGTTTGAATCTCATGCCTCAGAACTAGAATTATTGTATATACTTGTACAAATTGAACAAGCTACAGTTAAGGAAATTGCCTAAAATATGTACTGAATTATTAAAATTGAAATAACTTAATGATAATTTTTTTAATATCATTAATATATATTTAAAACTTAAAAACATATTAAATCATTATTTATTTNTCATAGGTAAAATACTTATTTATTATTTAAGTAAATATTTTACCAGAGGATTATTCATCCTATATGATGATCTCAGCATAAGCATCATCAACTGGTAACAGTCTTTGGGTGCGTTCGTTAATAGCTGTCACTCTGCAATGGGAGTGCGCTACTGTTTGTAGGCATTTAGGAACAACAGTGAAAGAAAGATGGCGGCGCCCACACTATTGATAGTATCGTGATGGAGGAATCTATAATTCTAAAATGAGCTTTTAGAGGCAAAAGAAGGGTCCCAATTGTAAAATTTAACCATTAAATGGATTATTGTTGAAAGAGCATTCAAAGTAGCCACGAAAACAATTAGAATGCTCGCACGGAGTTACGTGGAAGTATAAAAGAACACACCCTTTATTACATTTCATGTTGTACGAGGATGGTTTTATAGCATGTGTTAGAATGAACCTGTGCTATAAAACCACCGTGTTATACTGGGGATGTTCCCAATTCTCGAACCGTGTTAGAGTGAATCTGTGCTATAGAAGTGCCATGTTATATGGGGGTTACCTGTACTATATTAAAAACTAAAATTTATTTGTTTGTAAGCTTAAAATAAATCCTTATTAACCATATATTATTAAAAATGCATTAATTAATAAAATACAGAACTGGGAATGGTAATTTATGGTTTAGCCTAGTGACAAGTAGATTCGGAGACAAGTAAATTCAACTTACGTCGTCTCTCCTGGTACCAATTACCAACGTAAGGCGAGGTATACCTGTATAGTGCTTTCTATTGTCAGCTTTTCCTTTTTTGATCTGGATTTAAGACAAGCTAGAACTAAGAGTAAATTGTATTCAGCAAAGACTAGAACAACTAGTCTTTGCTGAATACAATCCCATCAATTAAATAATGTTATCTATTTGTTTATTCATATATATATATTACTTTTATTATGTTAACTATTTAAGATTTCTATTCATTCTATATCAATATTAAATTGTTTTTCTGTCTTAACTAGAATACTTCTTCAATTATCACTATTCTTTATGTTACATTAAATAGTTAATCTGAAAAATGAACAAAACTTGGCCATATTTAAATAATCACAAGTAGTTTGAGTTTTCTTTACGAGTGTTGTTAACTGCAGTAGTAATGCTTTCAGTTTTAGTTAGCTTATTATTGTGGCATTGTCATAATGTCAGGCTGAAATTTTTAATCATAATTTATTTAATTTAAAATATGTGCTTTCAATCTTAGTAATGTCTTTCTCATGTACAGTACATCATAGTTTTCCTGATAACAGTTGAGCCATGCTGGTCATCTATCTAACTGTCCTGGAGAAAAATTTTAAGTGAAATCATGTGACTTGCAGTCCAGACCAGAAATCTGTGTACTGTATAGTCAATTGGGACCTTCTATCTCTAAGCTTTCCACATGTGATCTCGACTTTCATCTAGCTCCCTCAACTTTCGAGATTATTGAAGAACAGACAAAAGACACCAATCAAAATTTATAGGCCTGCATTTTAAAAATTACAGCCTGATTATTTTGTATTTGTTATCCCAATGATGATGGAGAAGAAGTACACTTAATACACTATCCATTTTATTTCCATACAAATAGGCCCTGTACACACTAGGCATTTTTCAACGTGCGTTTTAAAGAACCAAGAGTTCTATGTAGCCGTACACACTCAAACGCCAAACACGCGTTTATAGATTTTTGTTAAAATGCACGTTTTGCGGGCACTTTATGGGCGCTTTGAGATATATGTGCTGCCTTATAGCGATGATGGAGGAGCACACACAATCAATTACTTTCTCATCCATTTCCAAACTGAGCCAGTGCTGAACGCCGAGCTAACGCGCGTTAGCTTGGCGTTTAACGCACGTTGAAAAACGCCTAGTGTGTACAGGGCCATACTTCAGATACCTGTACTCCTGGACAATTACTGCACATATTAAATTTTGTATTTTTAACTATCTTAAATAAATAACAAACAAAACTTTGTCTTAATAGAAACATAGGTTAACATTGAAAGTTATATTTTATTTATAATTCTTTAGTTGAAATGTTATGCTTTAAATGCACTATAAACATTTTTGATTTCTTGAAGGTTTGGAAATTGTTTTTGTAATAAAATTACTCTTTTCTCTTTATGAAAATTACTTCAAATATATATTAATAATTAAAATAACATGCAAAGTTATTATGTATCAACTTACTTTCTCTTTCTTTTAATAAGTGTCACTGTATGATATTCTCCATCATTGATAGTAACATCAGATGACATTTCACTAATATCGTTACCGCTATTAACTTTAACTTCCAACTTTCCATCAATAATTGCAATAAAATAATAGTGCTGAAATTTATATCAAAAATATTTTTAAGTGTAATTATAAAACATTTTGATTATTATGATAGATAAGAAGCAAAATTATATAACCTTTGTTATTTTTAATAACCATACCTTTTGCCTTATAAGACACATCACATTTTTTACATCAATTTTTTGGAGAAAATATCCTTCTTAGTATAAGGTCCATTCTAGTTTTCAGATAGATTTTTGTGTACAGAAGTGCATTTTATAAGGCAAAAAATACAATATATTTAAAAGATAAATGGCTATTGTACATAATCAAGATGCTTAAGAATGAACTGCACAACTTTTGATACACAAGATATATATATATGTATTTCTTTATTGATTTAGAAATAGATAAAAATGTTTCCATATCTATTACTTACCTTTTGTCTATTGTCTGGACTTCTTTTTCTTTCAAATACTGACAATAATAGAAGAGCATCTTTTTGATTTGTTTGAAATGAAAACCCAAAACTAGAATCTTGAGGTAATGGTTGACCTTTCAGTTCTAAATATCCTGTTCCACGAAAGCTTGCCACTTTAATAGACTAAATTTTAAAAAAATAAAAACATTTTCATAGTTTAAAAATACTGTGATCTAGAAATTATGCAAACATATACAAAATGCCACTGAATGATTTGAGCTACGTGGAGATACTAACAGTCACTACGTCAAACCCTAACCATGATAATTAGACAATTGTTACTAATCTTTCATTCTATAATTGAAATTGAAATTATTTATAATGTATTTTATTAAAGTAGATAGGGACTTTATGTCTACACTGTACAGTTTTATACAAACATCTCCAACCCGATATATAATATAGCTACAACCAACAGACTGCCGAAAATCTATCGGGCTAGTTTTATGCTAATTATATTAATATTAATTATATATAAAAATATTAATTATAAATAATTAAAATTATTTATAATTATTAATATTAATAAGAGATGGCGCCTAACGCTTACCTCTAGTACCAAATTGATTACGTAATTTATTTAATAATTAGCATAAAACTAGCCCGATAGATTTTCGGCAGTCTGTTGGTT